GGACCAGGGAGGATGATTCAACCACTCAGCCACTAGATGTCGCTGAAAACAACAAATCCTACACACTGTGCCTTTAAGTAACGCTGTTATCTCCTTCAAATTCTTACTGTGCCACAGTAAGAGTTGGAAGGAGATAACAGCGTTACTTAAGACATGCTTCCACTACACATTGCAGACAAATGGGCTTTAGTTCACAGTAGGGGTGCATCAACTGCAGTTTTCTGGCCAATCACTGATCTTTAAAAAGTCTGACCAGCTGATTCCAATTTTGGCCAATTCAGATATTTTTTTAAATAATAGTGTTTTAAGGTCATAATACACCTTCAATGTTTCAATCTTAATTTATTGAAAATCATTGAACAATACCCTTGAAACAATACACACTTGTATTAACTGGACATTAGGTGGAGCTCACAGCAGAGCAAAAGAGGACAGTGGCTAATTTTCAGACCTTTGTGTAGGTAGATGACGAGCTGATCTTTTCCACCGATCTTATCCAAGTATCGTCTGATCTCCCAAAATTAATGAAACCAGCCCCTATAGTTCACAGCTTACTATTTTAACCTATTAAAATACACAATGCAGGCCTTCAAAACTCTGGGACTAACAGAAACGGGACCACCTGCCTTCAGCCTCTCCTGCTGCTGTTATCCATCAGTTAAAGATTCCCAGTTAGGACAGGAAGGCACAGAGGCTCCTGATGCTGGAGGACATGGAGGTGGGGCTGAGGTAACAGAGGTACAAGGTGAGTTTATAGAGGAGAAATGGGATTTGAGATATGAGCATCTTCTTTAGCCGAACCTTAACTTGTTTAGTTTATTGGTTTTGTCGGGTTTCTTCAGTCTGAGCCTGGAGTGAATTTAACTTCAGCCCATCATGAAGCAGATATCCTGAATCAGATTTTTCTTAGTTTTAACTATATGAAGTCGAAGTTGGTTGGTCAGAGCTGCTAAAAACAGTCATTTTGTCCTTTCTGTTCACTTTCAATCCCAAATGTTAAAGACCACACTTGACATTTTTACATCATCTTTGTTTTAGCTTATCTGTGCTACACAGACAGTATTTTATATTCAAATGAGCTTAAATATGTTTAATTTATTTCCCATCAATTCACAATTAAAAGCCTTGCTAGCAACTGATAGTTTTGTGTTTTTACGCAGCAGAAAAGTTTAAAACCCAAGAATGAGGAGAAATGGTAGTCTAAAGGTAGGGCTATCTCACTTCATCAAGCTGATCGATATCATGAACCAGCATCTTTCAGGAGGAAACAAAGTGTAAATTCACCGCCCGTTCTGCAACACTTTGCTGGAATTTTCTACAACTGCTTTCCAGAAAAGTCTCACCAGGATGTTGAACGTTAACCAGACAGCCTTTTATTCATACACAAACATTTGTTTTCTGTCACTTTACACAGTGGTACAGGAAATAACACCAGGAAATAATTGAGTGTTATTGTTTACCGGATGTTCGTACTATCTCAGGGTTTCCCCTAATTCTCATTCAGCATCTCATCTTAATATCTGTTTAGTTTGCTGATACTGGACTTAATTACAACCCAAAGTAATAAAAACATCCGAACTAGAGAAACTGCATTTCCTGTGAAAAATGCAAAGGGAATACTTGTTGCAGAAGACACAACTAAAATTTGCTTAAAGCAGGGAGATAAAACATACGTATGTAGAAAAATGACGGATTGAGATGTAATGTAGCTGAAATGAGAAGAAAGTTAAAAAAATAGCAAAGAGGCTGAATTTCTTCACACAGAAATATGTTGACGTTTGGTCAAACGACATGAAAAGTAGCACAAAAAGCTGGAATTACTATGTAGCTAAATTAATAACACAGATTAAAAGAAGCAGAAAAAGATGAAAATAGTCAAATGAAACTGAAACAAGGAAGAAGCTGAAATTTGTAAAAAAACATTTAAACATAAAAAGATAAAATTAGTAAAAAAAAAGAAGAAGCTGAAATTTGTAAAAAAACATTTAAACATAAAAAGATAAAATTAGTAAAAAAAAAGAAGAAGCTGAAATTAGCATAAAGAAATGAAAAAATGCATAATGTATGTTATGCAAAAATGTATAAACTTTTTACTGAGTTTCAAGGATGTTGAACAGTTTTATTAATTTTCAATGAGAAAAAAAATGGCAGAAAAAGTTAAATATTTTCAAAAGTAGAAATTGCTAAAATACCAAAAGTCAAAGCAGGACTGTCCTGAACAAGCTGAATGTTTTGATATATGAATTGTTATATGTTAAATAGAAAAAAAATAGCAAATAAAACATAGAAGATTAAGTTATACATATACAGCAGGTAAAATAAGTATTGAACAC